ATTTGTGATGACTGCCACAAAAGAAACATGCAAACATCTAGTTTGTTATTTTGCTCTTTTATTGCTTTAATATGTTCAGTATTAGATGAATTCAACAAAAAAAGAAATAATTTGTCTGCAACCTCTGATCTATCCACAAATTACCCAGGTATTGAATTTTAAAACTACGAGATAGACCCTGAAAGGTAATATTTTAAGTTAACTGTCAAGGTAACAACTTCAAATAGAAAATGAGGACAAGCACATAACTTGTTATCACTCCAGCAATCTTAAGCTTTATGTGCAAATTCATGATTTGTAGTTTGTCTGGATAAGTGATATTTTGGCACTAACAAATGCTAATTGGCTATGCCTGCCATATAATCTATATTTAATGTTCATCACAGAATAAAGTAATACAATACACTAACAAAAACACCTAATGTCTATTCATACCAGGTGCTGGTTTTCATTTATCCAAATGTTCAGCCAACCACCATTTTTTTTCCTTTCTTTTTTTTTAATCTCTTTGTACCTTATATGTCTTGCCTACACTGCAACAGTAAATGTAATTACATTGATCGCTTGGGATCACATGATAGATCAATGAGTTTCTTGTTGAAAGCCATTGTAGAAAGGCATGTATACTTCAATTACTTGACATGGCAAGTTTACTAAAGCAGAAACAACGTCTGCTTCTTTAAGATGTAAATAGTACGGAAAGTCCTTAATGCTGAATACGGAATATGCCATGGTTTCATTGAATGAGAAGAGGTACCTTCCCAGGGTGTGCTCGAGGGCTAAGTTAAATACATGCTATATTTCTTCATGAACTGGTAAGTAGGTTATAAAAGGAAATGTGACTTACTACATCTATTAATATTTTTATTCACTCTTTCATATGGGAATCAAAATCCCAAAAATAATATTGCATTGTTTATTGTAGCTTAGATAATATACAAAACAATGCTATCACAGAATATTCAAATATAACACTATAATATATTAAACTATTATAAAGCACCTAATGGCTATTCAGAACTATACAGAATTTGTTCATAGAATACAGATACACTTACTCTCATGATTAAATGTAGGATAAGAATTTTTATAAAATGCTAGTTTTGAATGGAAAAAGGGTCACTGACAGTTGTAAGGAAGTGATGTTAAAAGTAGTTTTTTCTTTCTTTGCAATGTCTGAGCAAGGACATCAATTGCACTGCATAAATCACAGTAGATATTAATTAATAGTTCCTAGAATACATTCACATTATGAATCTGTAAATGCTTTGTGAGATCAAATTAATATCTGCTTAAATATATAGCTACACGTCTCTGCACCCAGTGGTTGCCCCCTTTTGCTCCAGCAGGAAGAGTAATATTCAACACAGGCATCTGATTGGCACTACCACTAGGACCTCCTTCATAAACGGGACACTCATAGTACCTTGACCGAGCTGTAGAAAGCACATCACTCCTACTGCTGGGCAGCGTCTCCTCCCCCAAGTGCAGGTCGAGTGAAGTGGAATCCTTGATGTTTTGAAATTCGTCAGAGAAACGGGTCTGCTGCGCTTCCGTAGAAGGATGGTCACCCGAGGAAGGTCGGTCTGACGCTGGTGGTTCAGGTCCTTCTGCTGCTTCTCCAGGTCCCTCGCTCTCAGTTAGGGTTGTCGATGACTGTCGGTGAAGCGAGGGTTGAGAGCGGGCTGTGGTGCAGAGTGAAGGCGCCCCTCGCATGGTATACGACCCGGTCTGCACAGTGGGTGTTGGAATCATGCTTAGCAATGGGAGCTGCTGTATCAGCTCTTGGGATGACGGTTCCTCCAACTCTTTTCTGAAAAAAATGCAGTCTACTGATATAGGCATTAACGGCTGCAAAAATGAATTCCACACAGTTATATTTTAAAATTGTAATGAGCTATACTTTTATAATACTTAAAATGTAGTTGTTTTAAACATACACACGGTAGAACGTTTCGGCAAACTTCGGCACAACTGTTAAGGTTGAAGGAAAAATGTAAGACTGTGCCACTTCTATATTATTTGGTAATAGTCAGGAGGTAGATAATTTTATATCGAATTTAGAAAATGACTAATAACAAGTGGAGACAAGCGTCCTCATGGACTTACTTGTTTATGTTCCACGCTGCTCCAACGAGCCACATCCCATGGACGAGGAGGCCACCGCTCCCCAGTGCATTCCAATCAGCTCTAGACTCCTCGGTGTTTATTGGCCAAACTTTTTCCTCTGGTTCTTCTGGAGGTGTCTTTTCCGCCTCGGTTTTCTCCTCTTTTTCCTCTTCCTCTTCCTTGTCTTCTCTATCCTCTTCTTGCGATGACTTTTCGTCTTCCCCCCCTTCTTCAGGAGCACTAGCTTCCTCTGCCTCTTTCTCGCCCTCTTCATCATCTTGTTCGCGCGTCTTTCTGCTTCTCTTCACTTCGCTTATTGCGTGTCATAATATCTATATTCCGGCCTCATCCGGCTCGTAGTCGCTCGAGGCGTGTCATTGTGGATACGTGCGAAGCCAAGAAGACTGACGGTCGGTGCCCGTCGCGGTCGCAGTGCTTCGAGCCCAGCCCACGCCTGCCGGACGACTGCTCCTTCGTGTGCGCCAGCGCACGCCCGCGACTGAGCACCCAGCTGGTACCTTGCTACGCCCTCTTTAGCCATGGCTACCTGCTTATGTGCGTTGCCTGGGGCCACGTCCATTTATTCCAGCCGACGTCTCAGAAGGGTAGCAAAGGGATAAGGATTAGGAAGAGGAGAATTAATCCGCTCGAATGAGATATCGAAAGTAACAAGCGGTTAAGAGTACTATAGTTATTAATTAAGATTTTTGAACATTTTGTAGGAGAATCTTGTGGAGGGAATTGATGATTTTAAATTTGAAGAACCATCCTCCAAGAGATAAATACTACGTGTGAACCCTAAATATCCTTTGTCTGCTCGACGAGAAATGGGACTCTTTCTTTAACTATTTTTTCTCGATCCTCTTTTCATAATAAGCCCTGACAGGCTATCCTAATGGAACAACATACCTGTTTAATAAAACCACGACTACTCAATTAAGATATTTAACTCCACGTAAATAAGATTCTTTTTTAATATCCCGTTCAGGCTATCTAGGACTGTTACACTTATAAGGCTGCTTTCATGAACTCATCTATCTTTATCTATTTAAAAACAAACACACATAATTCCTTAATAAGCAACTTAACTAATTTAGTTTTAAAAAGTGAATAAAATGGAGGTAATCCGAAAGTAGAACCATTAGGATAAGATCCATCATATAAATCCATCTCCTATATAGCCTGCAGTGTAAGTGACGATGAAGTAAGTCCCAGAAGCCTCGGTCTAATACCACAGCGTCTCCCAGCAGATGTCCGGTCCGCGTGTGGACGAGGTTCACTCAGCTGAAAATCACCTCCTCCTGGTTCCAAGTATCGCCAGGGGTGACGCTCCTCCCCTCGTGCAGCCCGCTATAACCATGGTGCAGCGGCATTTTTATCGTGTAAATTTATTTTCTCGAGGACATTACATATATTTCTCAAACTCATAGAATTAACAGAATGCGGTGCGGATTCTCGTCAGGGAGACAGTGTATTTCCTGGTCTCTACATCCTAGCGACTTGCAACACAATCGACACCAGTAGAGTCAAATAAAGTGAGTGAAAAGATAGTAATCCTTCACTGATAAGGCCTTTAGATTGCGCATGCTGACATAAGATCCCTTCTCATACCACGCACAGAGGCAACACAAAAGTACTCACCAACCGTAGATACCCATACCCACCACCTCAGTCCCACACGCAATGTACATAGAGGATACATTACACGTAATAATATCTATTCATCATATATATTTATTCTAGTGCATGCAGGCTACTATGTGACGCTCTAGGCACCCACTCAGGAGAAGGGGTACACGCTACCCGTGGAAGACACTGTCCGCACCTTGCGCTCCCATATGGGCAGCGACGGTGATCCGGGGAAGATGGCGATCCGTTGTACTTGTTGCACTCTCTTCCTCATCACCGTCCCTCAGGTCTCGCTCTCCAGCTCGTCTAGCTGAGCCTCTCCTTCGTTATGCGGTGCGTGCAGCGTGGTTGAATTGTTCATGACTAAGGACGGTGGTATACTCACTAGGATTAATATTATGTACCTATTATAATTAATTATATATATATACTATTCATCTCCATAAATCTATAATATTATACAATATTAATAGTATTATCATAATAACAATATGAATATTAAACAGACAAGTCATAAACACACTTTCATTTTATAAATAGTTGAATTTATTAGCTACAAGATAATATATTTAATTTTATTACATTAATTACTCATGATAATAGGTTATAATAAACTGGATATAGACTCCACCATAAAATAGATGATTTAATATAGTTATTACATTACAGTACATTACGACTAAATATCAGTCTCGACTTAAAAAGTAAATCTTTACTTGAATGTTAAATATCCTTAATATAGTTACCTATTTAAATAAAGGAAATGACGAGACTCATTACGCTCACTAATAATTACATATTATACCAGCTGTCATTGTGCGGCTAAGTCTTCTACGTTTAGTATCGTGAAGGCGCCTAGTATATGACGTGTCAGAAGTCATAGATGACGGTACTTAGTGTGTATAGTGTCATAAGTGCTTAGTACTGAAGTATCGCCTATACTCAACAGCCCCTTATTTAGGATAGGCATGGCATACTAGCTGGCGAATATATATGCTAATTACTAAATCTACACCTGCCTGGTATCACTCAGGTGATAAATAGGGTGCTATAGTTCTACATCATCAGTAATCCCCTAGTATAGCCGGTATTATGTGATTTGAGCAATAAATATGGTATCGTAATCGCAATCGGCCGGTCTTTACCATCCAACTCCCGCTGATTACTCCCATCCATATCCCGGAGCTATACTCGGATACGAGGTGTAGTGGTAGGCGCGGGGGGTAGCTATGGGTTTTTGGGAAATATTCAGGGTCCGGGGATATATGTTATATGTATATGATATTATATATAATATATATAAATTAATATGTATATATATATTATACAATACATACATATTATAAATATTATACCATACATATACATATATATATATATATATATACTATATATATATTAAATAATACACACATATTGATATATTTATATATTATAATATATAATATTATAACTATATAAGTATATATATAATATAATATTATAATATATACTATATATATATGCTATAGATATAATATATGTATTAATATGTATTATATATATATTATTATATATATATATTTTTATTATATTATATATATTATATGTATATGTTATATGTTATACGTATATATATATATATATATATATATATACACAAAAAAAAAATATATATATATGTATATGTATAGTATATGTATAGTATATTATATATATTATTACATTATTAATATATATTATATAGATATATATTATATATGTATATATAATGTATATATATGTATAATATATTTATGTTATATATATTCATATATATCTATGATAATATGTTAGTATGCTATATGGTATATGCGTTATTCTACGTCTACTATTACCTACTTATCTACTTCATCTCTCTCCTCTCTACTTTCTTACTCATCTCTACTCTCTCAATCTACTCTACTATCTCTACTATCGTCTCTCTCTCTACTCACTCTCTTCTCTCTCTCTCTGCTCTCTCATCATGCAATAGCGAAAACGGTAGTGACATAGGTGTATGTAGTCAATACTAATCCCTATCATCATGTTAATAGCGGGTATATATAATACTAGATAATAAAATTCTGTACCGAGTACTATACTCACTGAAAATAATACTCACCACTACTATCACCCGCCATAGTCAGTCCCGTGTCATGCTGAAGGATGATGTATATAGCAAGATAATAATAGTAATATCAGTGGTACGCCCCCAGGGGACGCTCGCCTACGTCACTACTGGGTAAGGTCATACTATAAACACATCATATACACTCATTCATATACTCGACACGCGTCCCAACCTCACCTCTACTCAGAGGAGGTACAGGAGGCTATGGTGAGCTCATCTACACCTTGAGGTAACCTAGAAGGGTCATTAGGATGAGTATTATCGGTGAGTATGATACTAGATATAGTGATGTGATTTATATGAGTCGTTATAATGTATATATATGTATATATATATAATATGATATATATATATATAATATGTGTGGGTATATGCTATATGTATAACGATATCGTGAGTGACTAGTAGTATTGCCACTGTATTAAGTGTAGTAGTATGTTCTTATGATATTCTAATTTATTTGATTGTCAATAGTATGTAATATATATATCTTCGTATATTAATAGGTAATACTCATGATCAATGAGGAATATAAACAAATTCATATACGTAGTAGCTACGCTAATCGGATGGTACTACACCTTGTACCTCCCTATTGTATATAAACCGTTCATAAGAAAGAAGCGCTGTTAATCCTTCCTATCTCCAAGCACAGGTCAAAAGTAGGAGGAAAGTAGAACGCCGCGCATATCATACGTACCTAGTCCTGTTAACGGCTCATCAGTACGTCTTTCCTATATATACACACGTACGTTGATAGCTAGTAGATCGAGGTATAGTCAGCCTAACTAGGTACCTACCTATATATATAATATATATATATATTACGCACTGAGAACACACACACGACACGCTCTGACCCCCCCGCCTTCACGCCACGCGATCTTCACGCTCAGTCCATATCAATGACGCAATATATATATATATGTCACGTATGGTACGTCTGGACTAGGTCGAGACGCTGTAAGTAGTACGTGACGTTATTGATATGTAGTGATATTCGCCTTTATTATTTTAGGGGGTATATAGTAGGGGTTAGATAAGCCTAAGTACTATATAATAGTTAGGATAATATATCAGTAGGTTTTGCGCTATTGTTTAAATTAAGTCGTCAGTTATTGCGTGTTTTCTCTCTTTCCTTTATTCTTTAGTTGTCATTATCTTTTTTATGATCACTTCATTACTGGTTCTGATTATTATAATATGTTCGCATAATGGGTAATTATACTCGTTGCCGTTTAGTTTACCAAATGAAGGTCTTAATTCCTGCAATCAATATAACTTGGACAAATATATAATATGTCAGGCCACTAGGAACACTAAGATTCGATATATAATGTCAGACTGAACCTGGCTGCTTCCTTTTACTCCCACTTAAGCGTCGTTATATCAACACACTCGGCGCAGTCGAGTAGCATCACGGGTGACACAAGCACATACCATGCTACGACATCAAGATAATAACGAATGACCTAATAAATATTCTGCACCTCCACCTTCGGACTCACACACGCGTGCGCAGCGAAACACGCCGAAACCACGATGCATCATCGTCTTTCTGTCGGTCCCCCAACCACAGCACTTTAGGATGGAGGAAGTCTTGGTACGCGTCGACAAGTGAACGACCCGCCTGAGAATGTGTAAGTACCGTGTGATGGTTCAGTGCGGTTTAAATCGCTCATAGACGGCGAGAGTGAGCCCGCGACACATAATCTCTCCAACGGCCGGAGGACCAGCAGGTGATCCTCAAAGCATCCTGAAGGAAAGTCCTCCCGCCATATCCCTTGAAAGCCCGCCTGAGGAGGAGATCACCCTCGCTTGCAGAAGGAGGGGGGAAAGAAGAGGCATTGAGAGAAGCTGCCGAGTTGTCAGTTATAAAGTTAACTGAGGTCTGCCAGAGTAGGAGGAAGAGGAGCTGGAGCCTCCGGGGGAGGGGACAGACGACGCCGAGACTACCGAGGATCCTCGTCATGGCTATTCTGCGTGATAAACCGCCGAGTAGACATCTGCGTGCAGGCTAGCAGGCCATCCCCCAGTATTATATGAACCTGTAGCGCTATAAGAGAGACCCAATTAGACAAAAGGTTAAGTATTGTAAAGGGCATTTTCTTTTTTTGTCTGTTCCTCACAGATGCCTTCTTATAGCATTAAATACTAGAACCTGGTTGTGAGTAAAGTATGAAGTCGTCTAGTTCAAAAGCCCTTGTGTCGAATTTTAGGGAAGAGCCGTTTTCTGAAATCCTCACAACACAAGTTCGAGTCGCCTAGTGGTTTGTAGAAAAAATAGACGTTTTGGCACAGCGCAATCCCCTATATGAGTTGTTAGTTAATCTGTAAAACAATTCTAAATGCAAAAAACCCATCACATATTGATTGATCTTTGTCTTATTTCTTTTTACTCACTATACCGGAAGCTGGTGTGCTCAAATTTTCTAAACTTTCCATTGCTTTTGTACGCTGAATTAATAAGCAATAATTAAATGGAACCAAAAGTGTTATACACGACGCACCCCTGCCCGATCTCTGCCTGTATCGAAAAGCTAACTCGCCTATATATAACAGTTATCTACTTTAACCTAGATCTAAAGAACAACTGGCAGTAATTAATAGCAGAGGCTGATTTATCTGAAAAGCGTGTTGTGAGAGTACAAAGAGTCACACTGTCAATTTTTTGTTTGTTTTGTATTATTTAGTAATTATATAGACGGTACGATATTGTTGATCACTTGAGCCCAAATTGTTAAATCCACAAATAAAAAAAAATAAAAAAAATAAATAGTCGCTAAGTAGTTCATTTTAAACTAATAGTTGGTTCGAATTTATTATGTCTATGTTGTTTTGAGATCCTTTGCTCAAAGCCTTTACACATCAGATACCTCAGGACTTATTATTCCCTCTGATCGATTGCCTTGAAAAAAATCGGACCGCAACGGCACCACAATGCCTGTCTTATTTTGAATGTTAAAGAATAAGTGAAAAAAAACACTCCATACCACTAGTAATGCTACTGCATACCCTCAATACTAATATATATAATATATATTTATTATAATATTAAGAACAATCCACCGTCTTACCCTTTTGATCCCCCCTCATAATCCGCTCCCACACACCACGCCTACCAGCTAAGACACATAGCCACACGATCGACCCTCCTCCCAAAAAATCGCCGCTCCACAGGCCTCTCGACCACCCGACCACCCGCCGCGCCGGGCGGCCCCGCCTCCGCAGGCGGAAACGCATCACGAGAAGCCGCCGCGCCCAGGCCTTCCCTGCCACCGTCCTTAGCCCACCCCAGCGGCGGCCCGACTCCCCAAAGGCTCATGCCGGAAGCCAACCAGCCAGCGTATAGATGGTACGAGCCCACTTCAGAAATCGATATCACCAAGCTAGGCGTAGAGACCATTTCGCGGAACATGCAGGAACCCCCGACACCACGCGCGCCATAGTCAGATGATGTATAGCGTAGCAAAGGTGGGATAGGATACGTGAGGCCGAGTCACACACTAGTCCCAACGCACTCCACCCATTCTCCTCGTTTTTCTTGTCTAGTCCGTTAAACTTTACTTTCGTCTCTCGGAAGTGAGGTCCTTTGGGGACCCTGCGCGCCTTGGATGGGCGGTGTCTGCGCCTCCGACCGGTGGCCAGGACCGGTGAGGGAAGCGCTGCCGGCTGATCTCGCTTGGCAGCTGCTGGACCCCGGCGGCAGACCGAAGATCTCCGTCTGTCTAAGCCTGTGATTCCCTGTGGATGGAAAGGTCATCTGCTGTGATATTTCTTACTGGTAGGGCTTTGCATTTGTGACATTATGATTTATATGGATCAAAGAAGTAACTCACGGGATGCATATATATATATATATATATATATATATATATATATATATATAATATATATATATATATATATATATATATATATATATATATATATATATATATCACATACATTATATTAAAGTATATGTTTGCGGATTGGGTACACAACTACGATGGCATCTTAAACCGTAAAATAAATTAGGCAAAGTTAATGATAAATGAACAAATAACTAAACCCTCCCTGGGCCTCTAAACGCATCAAAACCAGAACTCCCTTAGGACGCGCCACAGTACCGCCACGAACTCCGCCAGGTCGTCGAGCCTCCCGACGAAATCGGGGAAGAGACGCATCAGGCCGACGTCCTCGGCGTCGTCCGCCCCTCCCCCCGGAGGCTCCAGCTCCTCTTCCTCCTCGTCCTCCTCTTCCTCTTCTTCCCCGGCTCCTTCTGCAGAGCGAGGGGTGATCTCCTCCTCCGGCAGCTTCAAGGAGATGGCGAGGACTTCCTTCAGGATGCTGAGGATCACCTGCTGGTCCTCCGCCCGATGGACGCGCCCGCCGTAGAAGACCCGACCCACCAGGTACTCCAGCATCTCCGGGTCGACGTCGCGGCCTTCCTCCACGCTGCTCTGTGGACGGCGAATCGGTCGCGTTGTGGCCGGAGTGGGAGCGAAGGTGGAAGGTGCAAATATTTATAGTCATTCGTTATATCTGGTGTAAGATAGCTCGTGTTTATTGGGCATCGGCATTGACATTTATGAATCTGTGTCTAGTGGCCTGACACTATGTCCATTATATGATTACAGGAATAACCTTACATTTGTAAACTAACGGAAGATTAATGCGAACATACTATAATCAGAACCAGTACATGAAGTAAGACATACAAAGAAAAGCAAAAGAAAAAGGAAAAGAGAGAAAACAGAATACTGACGACTTATTAACAAAGGCCAAAACCTCTTTTTTCAACCTATAAGACTGGCTTCTAACCCCCCCCCCCCCCCAAAAAAAAGGCGAATTCACAAAACAAACGCGACACTTCAGACGCTCGCCGCCGACCCACCGTGACAGCGCTGATGGCGAGCGTGAGATCCGTGGCCGTGAAGGCGGGGGGGTCGGCCCAGGCGAGGTGGCCGTGGCGCCCTCGCTCGCTCACGACGGTGTGGAAGACGCTGAGGCCGTGTAACAGGCGGCGTCGCGCTTCCTTCCTCCTCTTCGTCCTGTGTTGGAGAATGGAAGAATTGGCGATTTCAGCGCTTTTCTAGATGTATGAAGGGACGTCAGGCTGTAGACTCCGATTAGTATAAGCAACCAGCGTTATACATGTTTAATCCTCTTGCTGAACTATCCTTTATACCGAAGATATATTCATCTATTGCACAAATAAGAACTAAGAACACTCTACCACTTCAGAGGCAATTACTAGTCCTCACGAACCCAAACACTCTTCTGCTAATCACCGAAATCTATAAGCCTTCGAGACCCCAGGGCGGCCCAAGCTCCTTACCTCCTCAGAGAAGGTGAGGTGGAGCGTGAGTCGAGTGAGGGTGAGGTTGGCTTCCAGGAGGGCGTGGCGAGCGTCTCCGGGGGCGTCCACGTATACTTTCTCTACACTCCTCAGCAGTGACACGGGGAACTGCGGGGTGGGTGGATATCAGGTATGTACTCGTTCTCAGAATTTTCTTTCGGATTTAGCATTTAGATGTGGGAGATTGGCTTACACCTATGGATTACGTTTGCTTTCAGAGAGAGAGAGAGAGAGAGAGAGAGAGAGAGAGAGAGAGAGAGAGAGAGAGAGAGAGAGAGAGAGAGAGAGAGAGAGAGAGAGAGACGTCGTCCAACTAATAAGATCCCCCCGATCCCAACCCAGCCCCCGCCCGCGCCCCCACCTCGTCCGAGGGCTCCGTGGTGAGAATCAGCCGGAAGTTGGGATGGAGACCGCCGTTGCCGTTGCCTTTGCGACCACCGCCGCCGCCGTTGGGGACGCCCTCCGTGTACAGGCGGGTGATGATGTTCGCCAGCGTCGGCAGCCAGTCCAGGGCGTGGTGGAGGTTCTGCAGCAGCACCCAGCCGCCCTCGCTCGCCCCGCTCAGCACGGCGCCCTCCGCCACGGAAGACTGCAGAGGGCGACGGTAATTAGATATTGCGAAGGTTCGAGTCTAATCTTAAAAACATAAGGATATTTACATCAGTAAGATAACTTTAACGACGTTTTGTCGATGTCGAGGATATTAATTAATCATCTTAGCCTTCCGTTTACCTTAATGATATGAAAAAATATTCCTGGCAAATGCAAACTCTTTATAAATGAAAAATAAATATCTATCTGTCTGTCTATATATATATGTATGTATATTTCTATATAAATAGAAAGAGAGATAGATATATACATATATAACACATCAATATCCTAGGATCCACCTGTCCTTGTCCCAGCGACACGTTCGCGAGCGCGCCCTCCGGCCCCTGAGCCGCCAGGAGCAAGACCTCCTCCAGGGCGTCGACCCCGGGCGAGGTGACCAACAGGAGGGGGGCGGGGGGCGCGCGGGGGCCGGGGCGCGCGAGGAGGACTTGGGCTGCACGGGCGCCTCCAGGAACACGCCCACGTCCACGGGCGGAGGCGAGGAGAAGTGGGCGCCCAGGATCTCGCCCACGATGGCCCTGACCGCCCACGTAAGCTGAGGTGGATAAGGTTTTGGATAAAAGAGGAAAGGCGAAAGTAAGGGCGGCGAATCTTGTCTCAGAAGCTTTGTTCTTCGAGGACAGTGATGGACCGTTTGGGTTTATTAAATGTTTATAAAATGTACTTCGATATCTTCCCTTTTAACTAATATAATCATGAGATAGAGTGCATTACGGAGAATATATCGATGTTCATGTTACAGCTGACGGTTTGAACAGAGGGGAAAAAATATATATATATATTATCGGATAAATGGCCTGAGAACAACATTGGGCACGTATACCTTCATTCCCCACAAGATACTTCTACAAAGGTTCCAAAAACAATCTTGATTAATAATTTATCACTCTTTTCGTACCCAAATCTACTCTCCCTACACGCACCTTGTCCAGACGAAGGGCGGCCACCAGCAGGAGCCACAGGACGGGCTGCAGACGGTGCCAGGGGCGGGGCAGAGAGGACTTCTCCGGCAGGGCGCTGCTCGTGAGGCTAACCCAACCGACGGCGTCTTTCTCCAGACTCTCAGACAAACCTGCAAATGCAACATCATCAGCTGCTATGTATCTTAACAGGTAAGGAAGCATGTGAGATTCATTGCAAGTATAATTCAGCATCATTTCACCAATCAAGTTTATATATTGTCTTAAAAAAAGTGTACCCTGCCTCCATAAATCAAATTTCTATACTGTCTCTCTCTCTCCTCTCCCTCTCCCTCTCCCTCCCTCCCTCCCTCCCTCCCTCCCTCCCTCCCTCCCTCCCCTCCCTCCCTCGCCCCTGACCTTCAAACTCCGGCAGCGTCGAGAGGTGCAGGAGGGCGGGCCAGGCGGGGGCGAGAGGAGGGGCCAGCCAGTCCGGGGGGGGAGCGCAACCGGCCGGACTCAGACTCGCCAGGCGGTAGAGGGCGGACTCCACGCTCGGACTCACCGCCCCCGAGACTCTGCGGGTGAAAATGGTATTAATGATGTAAGAATGAACTGTAAAATAATATCCTCCTCTCCTCCTCCTCCTCCTCCTCACGCCTTCCCTCCCTCACTCCTCCTCTCCTCCATGTTTAAAATAATATGTGTCCTGTTTTGTTTAAAATAATATGTATAGTCTGTTTTGTTTAAAATAATATTATAGTCTGTTTTGTTTTAAAATAATATGTAGTCTTTTGTTTAAAATAATATGTAGAGTCTGTTTTGTTTAAAATAATATTATAGTCTGTTTGTTTAAAATAATATGTATAGTCTGTTTTGTTTTATATGTATAGTCTGTTTTGTTTAAAATTAATATGTATAGTCTGTTTTGTTTAAAATAATATGTATAGTCTGTTTTGTTAAAATAATATGTTTAAAATAATATGTATAGTCTGTTTTGTTTAATATAATATGTATAGTCTGTTTTGTTTAAAATAATATGTATAGTCTGTTTTGTTTAAAATAATATGTATCTGTTTTGTTTAAAATAATATGTATAGTCTGTTTTGTTTAAAAATAATATGTATAGTCTGTTTTGTTTTAAAAAATAATAAAAGTCTGTTTTGTTTAAAATAATATGTATAGTCTGTTGTTTAAAATAATATGTCTGTTTTGTTTAAAATAATATGTATAGTCTGTTTTGTTTAAAAATAATCTGTTTTGTTTATATGTATAGTCTGTTTTGTTAAAATAATATGTATAGTCTGTTTTGTTTAAAATAATATGTATAGTCTGTTTTTGTTTAAAATAATATGTATAGTCTGTTTTGTTTAAAATAATATGTATAGTCTGTTTTGTTTAAAATAATATGTAGTCTGTTTTGTTTAAAATAATATGTATAGTCTGTTTTGTTTAAAATAATATGTATAGTCTGTTTTGTTTAAAATAATATGTATAGTCTGTTTTGTTTAAATAATATGTATAGTCTGTTTGTTTAAAATAATATGTTTGTTTAGTATATAATATGTATAGTCTGTTTTGTTTAAAATAATATGTATAGTCTGTTTTTGTTTAAAATAATATGTATAGTCTGTTTGTTTAAAATAATATGTAGTCTGTTTGTTTAACTGTTTGTTTAAAATAATATGTAAAGAGTCTGTTTTGTTTAAATAATATGTACTATTTTGTTTATGAAATTGAACTGCATTTGATTACACTAATGATCACATGATAATGAATATTAATCTCTCTGGAAAAAAGTAATAAGGATCATAATATACAATGATAATAATGATCTTAATGTACAATGATAATGACAATAGTATTAACAACAATGGTCATAAGAATAATAAGAAAAACGACAATAATAATAATGACAATAATGGTAAAAATAATAATACTAAAACAATAGTAATAATAATAATGACTATGATAGTAATGATGATGATAATGATAATATAAATAATAATAATATAATAATAATAATAATAATAATAATAATAATAATGATAATGATACAATAATGAAAAAATAATGATAAATAATAAATAATAATAATAATAATAATAATAATAATAATAATAATAATAATAATAATAATAATAATGATAATGATAATAATAATGAAAAAATAATTACAGTAACAATATCAGTCACAAAAAATAATATAAACAATAATGATAATGACACTGCTACTAATACTACTAGTCATAGTACTACTACTAATACAATAACAACAATAATAAAGAAAAATATAGAGTAATAGAAAATCAACAAATAAAACCAAAGAAAGAGAGAGAGAGAGAGAGAGAGAGAGAGAGAGAGAGAGAGAGAGAGAGAGAGAGAGAGAGAGAGAGAGAGAGAGAGAGAGAGAGAGAAGAGAGAGAGAGAGAGAGAGAGAGAGAGAGAGAGAGAGAGAGAGAGAGAGAGAGAGAGAGAGAGAGAGAGAGAGAGAGAGAGAGAGAGAGAGAGAAGAGAGAGAGAGAGAGAGAGAGAGAGAGAGAGAGAGAGAGAGAGAGAGAGAGAGAGAGAGAGAGAGAGAGAAGAGAGAAGAGAGAGAGAGAGAGACAGACAGACAGCGAGAAGACAGAGAGAGAGACAGAGAGACACAGAGACAGACAAGACAGACAGACAGAGACACACACACACACACAGAGAGAGAGAGAGAGAGAGAGAGAGAGAGAGAGAGAGAGAGAGAGAGAGAGAGAGAGAGAGAGAGAGAGAGAGAGAAGAGAGAGAGAGAGAGAGAGAGAGAGAGAGAGAGACAGAGAGACAGACAGAGAGAGAGACAGAGACAGAGACAGAGACAGAGACAGAGAGTCAGAGAGTCAGAGAGTCAGAGAGTCAGAGAGTCAGAGAGAGACAGAGACAGACAGAGACGGAGAGCTAGAGACATAGAGAGAGAGAGAGAGAGAGAAATCCAACCTGAGGGCGTGGAGGGCGATGAGGAAGGTGAAGGGCAGGCGATGGGGCGCGGCGAGGCCTTTCACGACGGCGGAGTGGACGCGGCTCACCAGGGCTTCCTGCAGGAGGCTCAGACGGCGCTCCAGCACGGAACTCTTGCCGCTGCGGGAGAGGGAGGTCAGAGGTCAGAGAGGTCGGAGGTCAGAGATGTCCGAGGGTCTAATATGGCGGAGGTATTTTGAGACTGTGAACCTTTTCATTTTTTTTTAAATTCTATATCAAGTTTAGAGAAAAAAATGGATGAAAAAATTGTTTGTGTATGTTCTAGAACGGTTGAGGGAAATACTGGATGGAAGAGGGTATAATGGAAAAAAAATAATGAAAATAAAGAAAATAAATCGTAAAACCCCGATCGTATAAACGCCCTTGTTTGCGTACGTGTGTGTTTGAGTACGTGTATCTTTACATATGTGCGTCTGTATTTGAGTACGTATGTGTTTGAGTGCAAGTCTATTTGAGTACCTTCGTATTTTATCCACGTGCGTCTAAATTTAACCCCCCCCCCCCGACTTACGTGTGTGTTTGAGTCCGAGTGCGTCCCCCAACTTACGTGGTGTCGATGACGGCGACGTAGAGGTCGACGTACCAGCGCAGCGAGAACTGGTACATGGGCGACACGGAGGCGAGGCTGGCGAGGGTGATGTAGAGGGACGCGGCGGGTCGTGACACGGACTCGTACTGCTTGCAACACTCCAGCAGCGCCGCCTCCGTCTCCACGCACTGCTCCTGCTTGCGCTTGATCTCGTCCGACATTTGCTGGAGGAGAGGAGCGAGGAGGGAGTAATGGTGAATAGATGGATGCCGGATTAATGGTAATAATGATAAGGTGAGGGGCATTCTTGGGTCATCAAATGCCGGATTAATGGTAATAATGATACGGTGAGGGGCATTCTCAGGTCATCAAATGCCGGATTAATGGTAATAATGATAAATTATGGGACATGAAATGCCGGATTAATGACAATAATGATAAGGTGAGGGTCATTCTTGGGTCATCAAATGCCGGATTAATGGTAATAATGATAAGTTAAGGGTCATTCTTGGGTCATCAAATGCCGGATTAATGGTAATAATGATACGGTTAAGGGCACAAAATGCCGGATTAATGGTAATAATGATAAGTGAGGGTCATTCTCAGGTCATCAAATGCCGGATTAATGGTAATAATGATAAATTAAGGGTCATTCTTGGGTCATCAAATGCCGGATTACTGGTAACAAGAATGAATTAAGGGTCATTATTCCGTTATCAATGCCGGATTAATGATGGAAGATGGTGGAAACACTGTCAATATTGATTTAGAGAACTCAGAACAGCTCTCAAATGTCGAAAAAAGAACAAAACATCAACAAGAAAAAAAAAAAAAAACTTGTGGTCTTCAGCTCACCTTCGTTTCCTGCAGGATGTTGATGGCCTCCTCGGACTCCAGGATGTTGCCCTGCGCGGAGGACAGGGTGTGAAGGATGCGCTCCTCCGTGTCCTGGAGGGCGCGCTGGTGGGAGGAGGTCGTCAGCACCAGCTTCTGGCGCTCGTCCTCCAGCTCAGGTCTGGGGAGGGGAGGACGGGAGGGGGGTTTTGCGGTTCTGTTGAATGGCTTTTGGCTTTCCATTCTGATTTTGGTTTGTTTGTTTTTTATGTTTGGTGTTCTCTCTTACTCTTTCTTTTATTTTTTTTCTCTTACGATCTCTCCCTTATTCTCTCTCTCTCTCTTCTTCTCTGTCTGTCTGTCTGTCTGTCTGTCTCTCTCTCTCTCTCTCTCTCTCTCTCTCTCTCTCTCTCTCTCTCTCTCTCTCCATCAATCGCTTTTTTTCATTCTTTATTTCCTATCCCAGACTTTGGGACTCAGAACATCCATTGTGATTTACCAAACCACATATTCCCCTTTATGTATTCATATTAGACCACCTTAACAAACAATCAGAATAGAATGATACTTAACCTTTGATAGTACTGTACTGGACTGATTTCATAAAATTAGTATTTATCAGATTTTGATTATAGTCAAAAGTGTCTCATATCAACTTTATTGCTAACTTGAAGCACCACGCCGTAGCTTGTGATATCTTACAGAAAGATTCATCATCACTTGAGACGCACATCAAAGCAATATCTTCAATGTTTCTTTATTAGACAACTTTGGTATCTTGATTGTTTATATAAACTAATACCAATCAGTGTTAAGGACGAGGTCGCGATCCACCAAACAAATAGTAAATCACCACCCAACGCCCTACACCACCTTTTCGAACCACCAGACTCACCACCACGTCACCACACCACACACCAGCCCTCAACCCAACGCCCTACACCACCTTTTCGAACCACCAGACCCACCACCACGTCACCACACCGCACCACAAACCAGCTCTCAACCCAACGCCCTACACCACCTTTTCGAACCACCAGACTCACCACCACGTCACCACACCGCACCACACCAGCTCTCAACCCAACGCCCTACACCACCTTTCGAACCACCAGACTCACCACCACGTCACCACACCGCACCACAAACCAGCTCTCAACCCAACGCCCTACACCACCTTTTCGAACCACCAGACTCACCACCACGTCACCACACCGCACACCAGCTCTCAACCTACCTCTCCTTCCTGACGAGGATCTGCCGCAGGTTGTCGTGCAGGCCCTGGACGGTGACGGTGAAGTTGACGACGGTGAGCGACGCGGCCGTCTCGAGGGACAGGCTGGGGCGGGCGTGGCGGCTGGCGAGGTACAGCCGGAAGCCGGGGTGGTACTGCAGCGTCAGGGAGCCGATGGTGACCACTCGCACGCCGCCTTTGGGGAGTTCGGGGAAAAGAGGCTGGTTAGGGCGTTTGGTTGGGGAGTCCTAGAAGCTCGATGGAGGATGATATTGCTTTCGAAAGAGGATTTTTTTTGTGATGGAGTGAGTATGTTTGTTCTTGGACGCGTCGGTGCGTAAGTGTTTGTATGAAGGTCACGTTGATGCAAAGTATGCTATATCATGTTGATGAACGTAATGTCTACAGATATATACAACACTATAGGTACGCTATGCTTGAATAAAAAAATAAAGTAAGTTAATAAGACGAGAAACAAAAATCGTAATATTATTTAACAAGAATAGAAAATTATACTCACAATTCCACCTCTATTTTTTGAGGATCTGAGTAATCTAAAAACCTGTCAGTAAACTCACTCTCAGGAGACAAAAACAACAACAACAACAACAAACTACCACCGCCCTAAAACCGCAATTCCGACCCGGACGCCCCCCCCCCCCCTCGTCGTCCCAAGCACCCCCTCCCCCCCTCACCTTCCTCCCTCGTGTTGCGGGCGACGAGGTCAGCCAGCTGCGACGGCGGATCCCCCGCCAAGTCCATCAGGAGAACCGGACGCCCTTTGGGGATACAGCGGGCGAGGGCGTCCTCCAGCAGCGTTATCTGGGCCACAGCTCCTCCTCCAGGTCGAGAAGCCGGGGCGTTGAAGTCCTGCTCGCGAAGGACCACCAGCTCGTTGGCGGCCTCGTGGAGCTGCAGCCAGCGCGTCCCTTGCTCGTCCGGGTCCACCAGGTACGGCCATCTGGGGGGGGGGGGGTCGTCGGTTTTGTAAGGAATATTTTCATAGTTTTTGTAGTGGTTATGTTTCAATTTCATTAATTCATGTATGTTTACAGGTTTGCAGTTATAACAAAACGAAACAAAAGCCAGAAAACAAACAAAAAATAAAACAAAATCGACAAAACATAATAAAAGCGAAAAAAACAAAAACAAAAGACAACCCCCCCCACCCCCCCATCCCCGCCCAACCCACTTGACTGTGTGCTTGATAGCCGTGGCGTTCTGGAGCGAGAAGGCGTCGGTGGGCAGTCCCTCGAGCCCCCACGCCCTCACGTGCAGGGGCGGGGTCAGGATGTCCACCAGGCTGAAGGGCGTGGTCACCTCGAGCTCCGCCTCCAACACGGCCTGGCTCCATTCGGCCAGCACGCGCTCCCTGTGTGTGGAGAAGATATAAAAAAATCATAAAAAATTGTAAACAGTAATCATAATATATATTTAATGATTTAAGAATATATATATATATATACCAGTGTCCTTGCATATGGTAAACAAGAAATATATATATTATATATATATATAAGTATAAATAACGAGTAGAATATATGAAAGTCTCGCTATATATATAACGGGTGGAAAAGAGTCCTTGCATATGGTAAACAGGAATCATATATAACTGCAATCATATACAAGTATATAAAACGAGTAGAATATATGAATGTCTCGCTACAGGTTGTAGACATTGAAAACCGAGGAAGCAGATGAAGAAACAGTATTATATCAATGCCATTTCTGATTCGTGACTCCTGGTTACCTGTCGCCCGTAAAAAAAAAAAAAAAAAAAAAAAAAAAAAAAAAAAAAAAAAAAAAAAAAAAAAAAAAAAAAAAAATAATAATAATAAAGAGAAAAAAGAGAAAAAAGAAAACATATAATGGTCTTCTCTATTCCCTTCTTTGTATGATTTAATTTACGAACTGGCTTATCAATGAATTGTTCATTTACCACATTCTTGCTGTGTAATTTGCAATTTTTCACTTGATACTCTATTCTTGTATCATATGCTAAGAATTTACGTATCTATTGTTCAGCTAGTCTCTCAGTATCTATCTATCTGGTTTTAATTTGGAATATGTATAATATATATACATATATACATACATATAAACATACATACACACACACACACACACACACACACACACACACGCACACACACTCACACACACTCACACACACACACAAACACACACACATGCATATATATATATATATATATATATATATATATATATATATATATATATACATACACACACACACATGTCTCACACACACACACACACACATATATATATATATATATATATATATATATATATATATATATATATTATATATATATATATATATATATATATATATATATATATATATATATATATATATATATATATATATATATCATACATATATCAAAACGTAACAAACAAGAACGCAAATACAAGAAATACAACATTTCTCCTCCGCCGACACGAGGTCATCCACAAACGACCTGACTTCCTTTCCGCACCTGATCTCCGGCTGGTGCGGCGGCAGGTAGGCGAGTGACGCGGCGGCCAGCAAGGTGTCTCCGGGGAGGCGCAATAGTTCGGCTCCTGCAGTTTCGGCCGCGCCCTCCCACCGGGAACGCTCGCCCCCAGGCCACCTGCAGGGGGGGGGGGGGGGGTTTTATAGGTGTCCCTGTTTGGTAGGGTCATGTATATTTGTCTGTTTGTCTGTATATCTCATCCCGTTCCCGTCTCCTCTCTGTCTCTCTTTCTCTCTCTCTCCCCTCCCTCTCTCTTTCTCAGTCTCTCTCTCTCCTCTTTTTCTCTCTCTCTCTCTTCCTCTTTCTCTCTCTCTCTCTCTATCTATTTCTCCCCCTCCCTCTCCATTTCTCTCTCGAATATGAAAAAAAGGAATCTGCCAGGCGCTCCCGGATCTCCCGAGAAGCGCCCCTTCCCCTTCCATACTTATCAGCTTCCTCGCTCTCTCCAGCTTGAGTCCGCACAGCTTCTGCTCGTTCTCCAGCTTCTCCTTCTCACGGCAGGCGAGGGAGAACCGTCGCTGGAGGTTCTCCAACTTCTCCTCCAGCTGTCGTAGCTCGTTCCGCTTGCCCTCCACGATGCCCATTCTCTCCCTCACCTCCTCCTCCGCTTCCGCCAAACGCTCCCTCTTAGGCGCCACGATCTGGGAGGGAGCGCGGGAAATTCAAATCGATGTCGAAAAAAAACAATATAATAGAAACAAAAATAATCAAATGAGATGTCGTTAAAAAAAACAATAATAATATAAACAAAAAATAATAAATTAACAAATGAATTAAAATCGATGTCGTTAAAAAAACAATAATAATAACAACGAAAAATACGAAATTAAACAAATGAATGAACAAATTAATAAAAATTGTAATTCTGTCGTTTGGAATTGATCGTATTAAGGAAAAAGAACATATATCTGGTTTGGTTTCGTAGGGACTGTCAGCTGACTGTCGCAAAGGAGGATGAAGACGGAGAAATTGGGTATAGAGGATTAGTTAAATACTGGAAAAGGGAAGTTCATGGTCCATATGACACAGTCTGTATAGATCGTGAGGTGGGAAGGAAAAATGACAACTCTTTGACAACTCTTACAGCATGAAAAATGGTACTTAGGTAAGAGGGTGTATTTGCATCCTTAAAATTTATATATTCGCATGGGTATTGTGTGGAGGAAAAACTAGAGCTGTAACCAGAGCGTTTATATATCGAAAAAGAGGCGATTACTCTCGTTTTATGTCGATAAGGGATCTGTATCATTCGGAGGAAAGAGAATGGTATAAAACTCTTACACAGATAATTAGAGACATGGCTAGGAGAGATAGGGATAGAGATAGAGAGATAGATAGATAGATAGATAGATAGAGAGAGTGAGGGAGAACGAGAGAGAGAGAGAGAGAGAAGAGAGAGAGAGAGAGAGAGAGAGAGAGAGAGAGAGAGAGAGAGAGAGAGAAGAGAGATAGAGAGAGAGAGAGAGAGAGAGAGAGAAGAGAGAGAAAGAAAGAAAGAAAGAGAGAGAAAGAGAGATAGATAGACCGATAGAGAAAGAAAGAGACCAAAAGTATAGCGAGAAAAAAAGAAAGAAAACAAGGAACACTATCCAGAGAAAGAAAGGAACCCCGAATCCCAAAAACCGCGAGACGCCCCCCCCCTCCACCCCCTTCTCGCTCACCTTGGGCGATGGCGTTGTAGGAGGCCATGGCCCGCACCCACTTGCAGAGGCCCTCCGCCGCGCTCGATGCCTTGGCCACCGACGCGGGATCGAACTCCGGCAGGCGAACGTACTCCTTGTTGATCTTGTCCATCACGGCCTCGGGGATGTTGTCCTTGTCGTAGTCCTTGAGCTGCTGCAGGAAGCTCATGTCCCCCAGGAGGCGCTTGCTCGGGCCCCAGTACTCGAAGATCTGGGGACGGAAGGCGGGGGTTAGAGGAGGTCATTTCGGGTCGAGAGGGAAGGAGGGAGGGAAGGGGGAGGGAAGGGGGGATGGGGGATGGGGAGGGAAGGGGAGGGATTGGGAAGGGGGTGATGGGAGGGAAAGGGAGGGATGGGGAGATTTTTGGGGAGGGGAGAAATATAGAAATAATAATTTTAAAAAGTAAAATAGAAAGATAATATAAATAGGAGGAAAAAACACGAAAAATCGGCAACCTAAATAATGCTAGAAGTAGAGATAGGAATGATGAGGAAGACTGAAGGGGAGTAATATAAAATAAAAATGAAAAACAAAAATATAGACTTAAAAAACACCTTAGCCAAAGCAACAAGTAGAGACAGGACTGTGAGGAAAGACGGAAGAGATTTAAGCCGAGAAATCATAAAAAATAAATAAAAAATAAGACAGGGAAAAACACAAAAAACACAAAAAGGCCACGAAAAAAAACACGAAATAGACCAACCACCCAAAACAAAAACGGAATTAAACACAAAAACACCAAAAACCCACGAAAAAAACACCAAAACCCACCAAAAACCCACGAAAACAACAGCAACCCCAACCCAACCCAAAACCAAGCCAACCCACCGTCTTCCCGCTGCTGTTCTTCATCTTCTCCGGCTTGATCTCGAGCATCACGCACACAGCCGCCATGACGAGCTTGATGGCTTGCGGCGGGTTCTTCATGCTCTTGACCACCGTGATGTCAGCTGGCTTGAGGGTGTTCAGCGCCTCTACGGCCTCTGGAGGTCAAAGAGGAGGTATTTGAGGTATTTTGTAAGGTTTTCTTTCTTTTTTATTGGTTTTATTTTTTATTGTATATTTTCTTCTTTTGTTTTTGTTGCGTCGGAGGTTTTTCTTTAGCTTTTTTTTATTTGGTTTTATTGTATATTTTTTTCTTTGGTTTGGTTATTTTTGTTGTGTCGGAGGTCCTGGTGGTATAAAGTGTTTATGTTGTGTATTTGTGGTTTTATTTATTTCTATTATATGTTTTTTTCTTTTGTTTAGTTTGGTTATTTCTTTTGCGTCGGAGATACTGGTAGTATAGAGTGTTTGTTTATGTTTTGTTTGTTCATAGTTTCAGCGTGTTCAGAGACTCCATTTGGTGTCTGGGGGCGGGGCAAGGTATGGAGTCATTTAGCTTTTTTTGTCTTTGGTTTCGGATAATTATTTTCTTTTCATTAGTTTAGGTTATGTATCTAGATTTTTTCCTATTTTCTTTTCTTATTTGTTTTGTTTTGTTTGATTATTTGTATTGCGTCGGAGGTCCTGGGGGTATAAAGTGTTTGTCTATGTTGTGTGCGTGTTTTTTTAAACTTTATATGATTTACTTCAATCGAGACAAAAATTCCACAAACCTCTTTAATATAGATGTACGCCAGTCTCGATACATACAAAATACATCCACATATACACCACGCACGCTATAAGTACACCTCCGCGTCCATACTCTTAAAAGCACGGCCAAAGACTCACCGTGCAGCGCCGGCATAGCCTGGTTGAGCTCCGCCTGGCACTCCTCCTGCAGGGCCCTGGCATTCGCCGCGTGCACTCCGGCCTCCTCCTCCTCAGCCGACACCAGTTTCCTCCTCTCCTCCACTTCTAAGGACTCCTGTTAGAGCAATAAGGAGGCTTGTAAATCATGTACGAGTGCTATTAGAAGGGGTCAGACGAAATATGTTTTTTTTTTTAGTTCTATTACATGGTTTGGGGTATGTCTTATATTATACCAAGGCAGTGATATATATTTTTAGTTCAGACGAAATGTTTTTTTTTCTTTTAGTTCTATTGCATGGTTTGGGGTATAGCTGTCATATTATGCCAAGGCAGTGAAATATATTTTTAGTTCTATTGTATGGCTTGGGGTATAACTGTCTTATATTATACCAAGGCAGTGAAATATAATTTTAGTTCTATTGCATGGCTTGGGGTATAACTGTGTTATATTATACTGATGCAGTGATATATAATTTTCAATGGAGCTTCCACGAAGGTAGACATACGTTTTACGATAAAATTAATGTCGAATCAATACCCTTATACAAATATCGTTCTGTGTCTCATACACGATAGGATAAACCATTCTAAATAAAACAAGGAAGACAAGAATCAATACAGCGTGAAGTTGATATATTTGTTTCCCCGTTCTTCTCTCCGTTGTTTATTTCCAATGCTTTCAACACGAATCCACTAAAGATAAACCATAAACCACAGCACGGAAC